CTTTACCCTTCTGTCTTGGTTTCAGTTTGCTGATGCAGAAGAAATTACACAAGTTTGAGCTTGCGTCCCTTGCAAACCTGTGTCCTGAAACTCCAGAGGAGGCGAAGGCTCTTATACCTAGGTACGCGGAGATCCAAGTAGCATACATTGAAGTCTGGGTGGTTGAAACCGAGAGTAATGTCTGTAGGAATAACGTTCTGCTGTGGCCGAGATAGTCGCGGATACAGTGGGTCTTGTATATGTGTTGTTATTACCAACCCTCTACTCTTCATGGCTTCTGGTCTCTTCTCAGTAGGTGAAAATAAGTGAGGATGAGTTGACCTTGAGAAATGATCTCTCATGGTCATTTGTTAACGGGAAGTACCTGATGAGTGAACAGTTGTCTCCCCTAACAGGTACGACCGTCCACAGACCGGGAGAAAAGCCCTGCAGGGGGAAGTCGTTTCTGGGGCGGTGCAGGGGGGATGTTTACTATCAAGTGGACTAGAGGGCTGCTATTGGTAGGAATTTTCATATGTCAGAGTTTTACGCTACTACACACAGACTGAAAACATAAATCAGTTAAGAGTAGCGTGTAGTGATTGCACCTCTAATGTGTTCTGCGGATGTTGCGATAATATTCTAGATTAAATCACTGTGCCGCTGTGAGGTAATCTTAAAGCTGTACCCATCAGAACACATGAAAGCCTGTCGTCTGTCCTTCATTCAGTGGTTGTGGAACGAATGCTTTTAGGATGGGTTGTCACTCACAGCGAAATCTTGCGAATGCGCATATAACGAATTCGTAGCAGGGCTTTTCTCCTGGTGTGTGGACTGTACCTCCATAAGGGCAGCAGAAACTGGGCGACTTGCCTGTATTTTTGAGGTGCAGTAGGAAGCAGGAGTTTAGGTCACTACGCTGTGATGTTCAGTATTATACAGTTGTTGGTCCATACCGTATATGAAAATCTATTTTGTACCACAGTCTGTCAGTCTTGCCACCACAGAAACGTGGCCACTTTTAGTGAAAACACCCAATCAAATATTGCCGTTAGTTTCTTGGAAGATTTCTCTAATGCTCTTTGCATATTGTGATCACAATTTCACTGATAATGTGTGTCTTTATTTTGCTCGTCCTGTTATGTTTCAGCTTGGAAGGGAGGTTTGAGGATGAGGAATTGAGACAAATCCTTGATGACATACAGACAAAACGGAGTTTGCAGTATTGAGTTCAAATTATGAGAGCTGATATTTAATTGTATATTCAGGACACAGTATTTTGGTTGCCTCAGGCATTGTAAAGTGACCGAGTACCAGAGATTAATATAAAATGAAAATTTCAGGCTTCTCTCGATCTGTAAATGGACATAAAGCATGTTTACTTGCAAGTGCTAGTGTCTGGATGCTGTAGCGTTGTCTCTTGCGACAAATTTTTTTACCTCCTGCCGAGTTTATGTTCATTACAGTGCGACAAAGCACAAAGTTATGGCATGGAAACAAATATTTTGTTTCCTTTTAGAAACTCGCTCTTGGAATAAAATATTAAGCTGCATGACAGCTTGAGTGTGTTACGCTAAGCCTTATGGAAGAAAGATCTACAGTGTGTCCCAGAAAGATGTATACACATTCAATTAATTAAATAAAGACATTTTAATACACTTAAGTCATTACATATGTCAGCATTGACATTTAATGAATTAGCAAGCCTAATGTAAGTGTTTAAAATGGCCGCTGTTAGCTTCGTGGCGCAGTTGACAGAGGTGGACACCAAAATTGCTATTAGGACGGCTGCAGAAGACCAATTTTTTTTCAGGAGCTGTTGTAGTGTTGCTGGCTTTGTGCTGTACACCACGTCCTTCGAGTAACTGCACAAGAAGTAATCGGGTGGGGTCAAATCTGGTGATCGTGGGGGGGGTATGCAGCAGATCCTCTGTGCGCTATCCATCGATCGGGATATGGGGGTGCCCTGTCTTGTTGATACCACATGTATACAGCTGACAAATGGCAGAAACAAAGAATTTTTGATGTGTATTCATTTTCTTGGGGCATTCTGGTCGTGGCCTCATTTAGTTCTGTGGCACGATTTTGAGCAAAATTTTCTGCGTTTGTTGTAAATGTGTCTGCTGTTACGATTGATGATACTGGGTTCTGATTAAGATGGTCTTGGATCAGATGTGAATGTTCAGGTTTCATAAAAGGCAGGATAGTTCTTGATTAGTTGAGTGTACTGTCATATTCTCAAGGACTATGCTCCATGGAGTTGGTAAACTTGAAAAGGACTTGGAAGCAAATGTCTTTGGCCTATTTCAAGGTATTATCCCAGCGTTCATCTGGAGGAAGACTGTAACGCACCTCAAAACCTCCACCCCAGCCCCTGAATTCTCTGATGTTTCTTTATATCCCGTTGTGGTTTTTATGAATGTGTAGAGATGAACAATTCCATCACAGAAAACACTTTTTCTCATTTATTAACATTATTCAAGAGCAACATTTTTGGCATAATTACTACATTATGTAGCAATTTTGTCTCAGACACTGTACCTGTAGAACCCGATGATGTCCCAGCTGGGTTGAAACAAGTTGCTCTAGAAATGTGTTGTGATGGAATTTTTTCACCTTTGTACGCCCTTTCATTCTTTATCTGTTCCTTACAGTCCGTAGTTTGTATGTGCCCCTCTTACATTTTATTGTAATTCCTTCCTGACCCTGCTGCTTCTATCCTGTTCCCAGTTACCGGTGAACCGCAGAACCAGTCCTCAGTCCTCGTCCATACAAGTGGGACCGTTATATAATGGTCGACTTTGGGAGAGTGGAGAAGGTGCGCAGCGTTCAGAATGACTCAGGTAACGTGAAACATTCGGTTTTTAATAATTCTGATGAGAGTTCTGTCTTTGCTATTCTGGGGATACGATTCTTCAATGATGGACTTTTGAATGTTCTTTATACGTGGAATAATACTGTTTCATAAATATATATGACGGCGTTACATTCAGGGTCATTTTTATGACCTCAGGATTAGTATTTTGCGAAAGAGTAAAATTATTACAGTAAATAAAAGATTAATGAGAAACTACCACAGAAAAACAAAGAATTAATAATGAGGAAACTGAAGATGGTAAAGAAGTCTGTCGTAACTTTAACATTCACTATCTCTGTGTTTTGCTCACATCATATATTTATGGGTTTTCTATTATTCTCAAAGTAAACAGTGATTATTTCATTTACAACATAAACCATTTGATCTTTGTAGTGGTGAAGTGTTGTGTTTTCTTTGCGGTACGGACTGAATTTTTAAATAATATTAGTGTAACCCTTGGCTACAAAGGGTTAATATTCACTGCATCCAACTTTTGTTTGTCAGCCAATCCACTTCAGGAAAGGAGTTTGCACAAAAATTTTATCTTTAACGTAAGAAATTTGACCTGGTATCATACCAATGGAAGTTGGTAAAATTTTCTCAAGGACTTGCAGACATAATTAAAATTTGCTGCAGAATCTTTGATAACTAACTAGATAGCTTAGGGAAGGTTTATCACCGAATTAAGCGAAGCTCTCCGCCAGTCCCTGTCCGGTTCCAGCAAAATCCAATCGCCTTCAACTCCCATCTCTCGTGAATCTTGGAAAACAGTTTACTAAACTTCGTGTTATTGTCTAGAAAATCGAAAATTGTTGGTCCATGCGAATGCAATTGAATGGTTATGCTCTGGACTTGGCCACCCCTCAACATGATACTCGTTCGGTTTGTAGTGATGATGGAGGGGGAGGACCACTTTAAAAAAAATCAATGCTACACTTTACTTTATTTTTCTGTCTCGTTAAAATTTTCTGCCACATTTCCTTCCATTCTACAATTTAATTGGCAGACTGCTGTGCAATGAGGGGGTGGGGGTTTGTTGAATTCCTGCTTGTTTTGAAGTTGAAATTCAAACCTGCATCATCCTGTGCAGTAGAATATCTAGGATTCATTTTGAGGTTGGTGCTTTTAAAAAACTGCATTTGTAAGATTTGAGGTTATGATGACATTGAAAAATTTGTTGTTGGTCTTCTAGGTAGTAACACCGTGTAGACTTGTATGCAGAAATGCCTCCTACATTGAAAAACATCGGAAATTACATAATGCTTTTGATATTGTTCGTTTCTTCTAATTATATTAGTCGGAAAGATACTTTCTTCTCATATCGCTGCAGGTGTTTTGGGGGGAGGAAGTATGTTTAAACAAATTTTATCCCACTCAAGAAATTCTGATGTCTGTTTTCCTTCAGCCTCTACCAAGAATGTGTTTAGTGAAAGCTTTATTTTTCAGCCGTCTGGCCTTTCTGATTCAGAATTATTAAGCATTTTTTTCCCCCGGATTGTCATGCCTGTAGACACTTGGAAGTTTTTGCATTGTAAGCTGCAGTTTTGCTGTATGAGATCTGAAGCAAAACAGTGGCAAATGGACAGTTTACAACAAAAAACTTTGTGGTTAATGTCTGTTTCCTGATTTACTTAAAAATATAGGTTTTGAGGTTCTCACAAAGATGGCTCTCTTCTGGGTTGCAGCGCACGTTTAGTCTGATAGCAGTCTACCAACATTTCAGAGGTTTTTGCTGTGTTTTTTTTTTCAGGGGGGGGGGGGATTGTAGAGTTTATTACACTGGATGGACCTGATCCTGATTTAATTTTTGTAGTGTGCAGTGGATCCAATAATGACAGCTGTTTGGTTCGTCCAGTAGCTAATTACTTAGCCAGTGCTGAGTTAATTAATTAGGAAGGTAGTCGGTGTGGTATCAGCTTCTTTGTTTCATTTAATTTATAAATATCAGAATTTAAACATGGACAGTGCATGGGTGTGACAGGTGTAAAACCTGATTCGTAGCAAACAGCTTGTACAATTTTTAAACATTCAGTTCTAACCTCAAAGAAAACAATGCGTCTCTTACAAAGACCATTCTGTTAAATTTGTTTTTACGGAAATACTCGTCGCGTTGTTGCCATCGTAGAAAGGACGTAAGACGTCAAGGCGAGCTGTTTCCGCACGGTGTGACGTCATTCGCGATAGTGGGGCTCATCGCGCGGCGCCAAGCACTGTAAGTTGTATCCGAGGTCGTCAGTTGGCGCCACAAGGCCTCACCCCACCCTTCACAACAGCCCGACCGCGGGGTTGGGTCTCGCGGGATGCTAACGTTCCGGGCAGCCAGGGCGATGGTCTCGCCGCTCACGCTGTGTACGGAATGTTCATGTCAGCAAAACTTTGCTCCTTGTGTGTTTTTGCAGCCACAGGTTGTAGAGTATCACTTGGGCAGACTGTATACAGGGTGTTCATGTTAGCAATTTTTTTGTTCGTGGTGTTTGTACAGACACATTTTGTAGATTTATTAACTTGGCCATAACTGTGGAGTGATGTGAGAGGAATCTCGCTTATTTCAGAAAAAAACGTCAATATAGAATCACGAATTTCGGCTTAAAAAGTGTAATTTTTATTTATGGGAGCCATCGAAACGGTGACAAACGACAGAAATGTTAAAAATATTTATTTGACTGTGGAATAGTTAAGTCGAAACTTCGATTTGAGAGCTATTTTCTACTAGGCGGGGTGAATGGAGTTTATGCACGATTTGACAGAACTCAATCCACAAATGTAGGCAGAGATCTCATGTGGTTATACAAAATGGATTAGTCAGCACCGCTGCATTTCTAATTGGATGGGAGTATCGCACACAAAAATTGTCAACGCCTTTGCCTAGAGCGTGATTTGACCCTGAGATCGGTGCGGGGGAGGGAATATGGGCACATTTTTAAGACGATGGCCCGGGAACATAATCTGATACGTATTAATTCGACAGGATCGTGCAAAGGATTTGGTATCATAAGTCTTGCATCAAAATAGACCGAGATATTGTATTCTGTTGAATACTTCCTGGGGCCAGAGCGTGGTTTTGATGATAAAATGATGAACGGAGGTGATAAAAGCCTAACCGGAATTATTTCTGTATATAGCAACGCGTCTAATATAAATTATAACATTGAGGAGACTGAAACTCGAATAAATATGATACGAGGACGATAACAGGCTCAGGATGGTGTTTAGCAACTGGGTTTTATAGTTATGGTGACGAATTATGAAGATGGGTTGTAGCACCGTGTAGTCTGGTATACCAACGTTTCGGATGTCCTTGATGCTTCCATCTTCAGGGCTACGCCTCCATGAGAACGTAAAATGTACGTGATGAATTATGGTTTCATAACAGCAGGTTATTGATGATCGTGATAAACGTAAAGTTTCCTTTATGCCTAAATGCAGAGCGTACTTAGACAAGGGGTGGTCCCCCTGCTTACCATCAACATCTCAAGGACGTTGCGTCTTTAAATTAATAATAATCGCTATAGTATTCTGAACAGTGATAATAATGTTTCGCGCAATCGTTTTGCGGCCATTTTGAGTACTCATTTATCCAGAGCGATTTGTGTAAAGAAAATCCCCAGGTATAATTTCCAAGGACTTCGGCCGGGGCTCGAACCGAGCGTGCGCCGGCTCGTGCCGCTACTGTGTGCGATTAACCATGGTAACAGAAATAAAGACGATCGCTGCTGCCATCGTACGTCACTACGCAGTACTACTTCATGTACTAGCCACGCTAGAAACATCGCAACAAAAATCGATCGATCCTGATGCAACATTATTTTCTTTGTTATAGTGGAGGATTTAAGACGTATTTCCGAATATTGTGAGTGGAGATGTTTTTTTGCTAAGCAGGGCTGAACGCATTACCTTGTATAGAGTACAGACTCCCCTGTGTTTACGACGCACAAAAAGGATATCGAGAGCAACAATAGAAAAACCACGGAGCCGAGTGTTGCTAAATTATGAACGCAATTTATTACCGCTAACCACTATCTTAATGTTGTTGACAATGGCTGAAAGCCTCTGCTGCGTGAGGGGGCTGGGGAGTCCTTATTTGCTGAAGGCCTCAATTATTGGCGAAAGAAGGGCCGTGCCCCATTCGAATTATACCTTGGCACTTGGACATTTTTCAATTAAGAGTTCTTTCCCGGCGCGTATCTAATAGGAGGTAAATATTATTTCTATCATTTTAGAATGTCGTTTACTTACGAGAGATATAGGTTTCTCACACTTACGAACACGCAGATAACTGTCTTCTGAGAATTTGCACCGTATAGTCTGGTTTACAGACGTTTCGGAGATACTTACTGCCACCATTATCAGGGTTGTGGGTAAAACTATCTTCAAATATCGTTCTGCTGGAAAATCCCGGATGGGTAGACGTTTTCAAGCCGGGTTGTAGCGGCTGGCGGCCCTGGAGGGGCGGTGCAAGAGGCGAGAAGTTGGATTGGAGGGCAGTCAGTGATTCGTGGACTGGCGACCAGGCAAGTGTGGTATAATAAAACAGCTGATCGCGTATTTTGTGGCGGAAGGTGAGTACAACAAGTGGTTTTATTCACTGGCCCCGGCATAAGGACTTGTCTCGGCCAATGCCGTCTCATACCACATGTTCTTTCGTTCAATAACTCTTCATTTTGCCAGCAGAGTGTGCTTACGTGCGTCGTTTCGATAAACATTAACCGATTGATCTTTGTAATGTTGATGTATGTTTCTTTGGAGATAGAAATTTATTTATTTCGGGCTTCGTGATTTATTCAACGGAATACGAAATGTAATAAATGAGATATTAACCAATGTTGTTGCCTACTCTAAAATTCCCATTTGTTTATAATTCGCGGCGATGAAATGTCAAATAGGACAAGCGTCTGTGGGGGGAGGGGGCATCTGGGCTGGCATAAATCCCAGGCTGTGTACACCAAAGGTTCTCAACCAACTGCCCTTGGGTTGGAGGGGGCCCTT